GTCACTATTAAACATAGACTTAATAAACGTGGGATAGTTGCTTGATTACTCAATCTTTTTTTCTCTCAGTTATGAAGAAAAATTTGTCTCTAAAGTTAATGTCATTAAAAAATGAGAATCATAGACGTGCAGATATTAGTAACGTTAAATTACTTTATTAAAATAATATAGACATTAGTCCTGGAGCTTAGAGATATTTTTTTCATTTTTTTAAAATTAATTAATCACTGAACTTCAACTTTTATGCTTAGCAGCTTCTTCATGGGCAGCTTTTCTCTCTCAGTCTGCTTTTTTCCTCAGTTGTCATGCTTCCTGGCTTCATTTCCTACTTCCCTCAACCTGATTTCCAAGATTTTGGACAGTCCCCTGCCTTCAGTTGCATCTGCACTGAACTCCCCAAGCTGGGCTTGAATTCAGTCACCCACCTACTTCACTCCCACACCCTGACTATTGAGGGCCACGGTGTCCTCCAGCACCAGCTGGGCAGTGCAGTGCTCCTCCGTGTATGGCTTCCAGATACGGCTGCGCTGTCCGTGCTGCTCACCAAAGGACATAGGAGCCTTCTGCCTACCCAGGAGGAGCCTTGCCAGAACTGCCTCTTTCTGTCAGCCAATGTATGTCGCAAACTTCACAGAGAAATGTGAGGTTTTCCCACTCTCTAATTACTGTCCAGATATCTTCATTGAGATTTGTGAATTTATAAGTACATGTAGTTTCTTACTAATAAATTTAAAAAATTAAATATGTGGCTCACATTATATTTCTATTGGAGCTTTTCTCATGTAAGTACATACTTATATACCTCATTTTTTTATTGTTTAAAAGTTGTTTAAAAATTTTATTGCTTAAAATATTTTTTATTGTTTAAAACATTTTAAAATATCACATATGTCACCTCCCCCCACCCCCATTAACACCCCTGGGCCACTCCCACCCCCCAGGACAAGCCCCCACCGGCTCAGTGTCTGTGTCCCTTGTTTATGCTAATGCATAAAAGTCCTTTAGTTGATCTATAACCCTCACCTCCCTCCCCTGCCTTTTCTCTGAGGTTGGATGGTTGATTCAGTATTACCTTGTCTCTGGATCTATTTTTGTTAATCAGTTTATGTTGTTCATTATATTCTAAATATGTGTAAGATCATGTGATATTTATCTATAATACTTTTATAGACAATGTTCACCCTCTTCAGCAGGTCTAGTCCTTCGATTATGACATTGCTTCTATCTTAGTTCCTTTCTTGGTCTTTGACTGATCAGCTACTTTTGGCATTTGTCCCTCTTCTTCCCACCTGGTTCCTTCTGAAAACAACATAAATATACTAACATCTTCCACATTTAAGAATTAAAACTCTTTGCTCATCCACATGTTCTTTCCAAGGAATACCTCCAGCTCACTCCTTTCTTGTTCAAGAAAGAAATAAGTAATATCTACCTCTAGTCCATCAGTTTCTCTGAGTGATTTTTAAACTTCCTTAGGTCTGGATCCTAGACCTACTGCCCCACTGATCCACATCTGCAAATTCAGTGTCATTTTTAGTTCAATTGATATTTGCACAACATATTTGCTTACTCAACAGCCTCGTTGGGATATACTAGTACTATAAGGACTCCAGCAAAGCATTTCCTAAGATGAATTTTATAACCTTTTCTTCCTCCTGTTCAATGTTTTGGTGAATATCCTGCAAAAAATAAGCCAGAAATCTGTGTGTCTTCTGATACTCTTCTGTCCCTCTAATCTTCTAAGTTTAAGTAGTTAGATCTCTTTTAGTATTCTGCCTCTCCCTCCCCCACCTACTTTTGTAGTTAAATGTGCACGATCTTTCACTGGGCTATTAAAATAGATTTCAAATCCATTTTTATATTTCTGACAAGCTTTAAAAAACACCATTAACTGCACCTTCCTAGCCTATGATAAATTCAGTATCCTTAGAATGGCATTAAAAGGCTTTTTCTTTGGTTTTATTGATGTCTAAATTATCTTTATCACAGACTCCCTGATGAAAGATGTGGAATGTTTCTTTTAAAAAATTGCACATTCCCTCATGAACATAAACTTATACTTTCTTTTGGTGATATCAAAGATGTTCATGGATTCCTTGAGATTTATATATGAGTCTCATGATCCCAAATAGTCTCTTGCCACATTCTCCAATACCTTCTTTGTTCATAAGATAAGTATCACATGATTTCAGTAATATGTGGAATCTAATGAACAAAATAAACTTATGAACAAAATAGGTCCAGAGACATAGAGGCATGGCAGACTTTTGAATCTTAGAAGGAAGGTGGTGTGGGTGAGATCAACCAAAGAATTTGTATGCATATATGCTTAACCCAGGGACACAGACAGTAGGGTGATGAAGGGCTGTGGCTGGGTTGGGGGGGCAGGGTGGGGGGAGCTTGAATGGGTCAATGGGGACAAAAGGAACATATGTAATATTTTCAACAATAAACATTACTTAAAATTCATTTATGAAAAAATAACTTATTAGATATGACTTCTATAAAAATATAATAAAATAACGTATGGTAGACCAGTGTAACCTTAAGAGCCTTGGAATGAGAATGACATGAGTTTGGATGCATGTCAGAAATTGATATATTTGTTAAATAGTATAATGTCACCTGGCAGGTTCTGTGAGTTTTAAGTTTGAAGAAGGAGAAATTTATTCTGTCAAAATTAGTACCATTTGAGGCTTTCTGATGGAAGGGGCATTTAAATTGGTTTTAAAAACTATAGAGAATTTGGGAAAGCAAAGATTGGAGGTAGAGAAGATAGTGATAATCCTCAGACCTCAATGACATTACCAAGCTATAGGAATTAGAATTTTGATTATATCATTAGATTATTTTTTATAGTACTATGTTAATCACAAGAATTTAAATTTCATGTGATTCATGTCACTCTCTGACCTTACTTCCTTTCTTTATTTCTTATTAGAAAGGTGATTTTCTGACATTCATGCTGAGTTCATTTTTCTAATTGTCAGTTCATATATTTAATGATTTGTAAGAATTGAGACATTGTTTCCTCAAGTGTGTTTTTAGGAAATCCAATCTTATGGAAATCTTATTAAGAAAGTATTCTATAGGGTAACTGGCTTGTGGTTGATGACAGAGTGGTAAAGGCTCTGAGAAGTTCTGTGCTGAACTCCACTTGTTTAACTCACCACTTCACAATTTATATGAGCATAGAACACCCTTTTCCATAATTGCTGTTACTATCTCAAAGGACTATTTCTCCATACTTTGGGGTATTATAATGAATATTCATCTGGTATGCACTCTCTTTCCAAATAGACTATTTATTAAGAATCCAAGTTGTCTTACATTTTTACTCACATCTTGAAGATTGCAAAATACTCCTTAACTCAAAGTACTTATATCATAGGTCATATATGTGTTTAAATAGTTTTATGAACCTATTGTAAGAGAACTGTTTTTATATATTACAAAGAAATTCATATTACAGTATAACAGATCTTTTGGAACCAAAAGGATGGCTAAATTTCAAATGGTTTTCGTCTTCCCAATACATTTGAGGAAACTGAAGCCTCAAAGTTTTAAGAACTTTTGTGAATGTCATAGAGAGATTCTGCAGTAGAACCAAAGCTTAAAAGTGCATATCTTAAAGAGCCCAATTCTTTTTTCATTGCTCACTAATCTAATTAATTGCTTGATGATGCATTTATAAACTATGAAACTGATCCTGTTTGTTATGACAGTTGAGATTTTTCGTGGCTTAAGTTTAGAACCAAAAGCCAGAAGAGTTTATGTAAATGACCAATTTTTACTATATAATCATTACTAAACATTGTCGAAATATATCTGGCCTAATTGAGAACAAAACCTTTAAAATAATTTAGAAATAAAATTTTAAAATTCAGAAGAAATATTTTTAAATATATAGAATGTTGGAAATGTTCACTCTACAAAATACAAAACATAAAGAGAAGTCAGCTTCTTTTCATTCCTATTTGGTTGTTTAGTGTTTTTATTTAATAAGATATTTTCCTAGCAACATGAAACCACTCTTGGGGATCAAAGTCATTAGGATAATACAGCAGATTGTGTTTATTAGTTGATTCTAACCAGTTCTGCGGTTTAAGCATAATTTGTTTTTTTTAAGGCAGAGATATTTCCATCTGTTAGGAAATATTCAACTTTAAAATTTGTTTCCACTACCCCACTATATCATAGACTCTGACTTGCTAACTTTAGAAAAATTAGACTATATTGTACCCTCAATCAACCACATAAAAAACAAATCTGAAAGGGCAAATTTATTTTAACCTCTCTTGATATTTATCACTTTTTAAAAAATATATATATATTATTGATTTTTTTACAGAGAGGAAGAGAGAGAGATAGAGACTTAGAAACATCAATGAGAGAGAAACATCGATCAGCCGCCTCCTACACACCTCCCACCGGGGATGTGCCCGCAACCAATGCACATGCCCCTGACCAGAATCGAACCCGGGACCCTCCAGTCCACAGGCCGACGCTCTATCCACTGAGCCAAACTGATTTCGGCATAAAATCAGTTTGTTACTATAATTTCTTGTTACTACTAAAAATGCCATACAGACATCGGGAACTGCCGAGGTATGAAGGCACATGATCCTGCATTTCTTTCACTTAAAAAAAATGAGTGTTTGTGTCTGTATAGAAAATCTCTATACTCCAGGAAGTATATCTAGTCTTCTGAGGATTAAGGATATAACACACCATGGATGGTATTTATAACTAGACAACTTGAAGTACTAAAAACTTCAAGTGAACTTAACTCTAATATGTCTCCAACTTTATCACCATGTGGAAAATTAATGTTGCAAAGTCAAACATTACAATAAAACACAAGAAATAAGGTAAATTTGTAAAAGGATGAGATATATTTGCTGAAGTGTATAGTATACTCAGATGTTGAACCATTAGTAATAATATATGTTATGTTTAGAAACAATATGTGCAAATTTTAAAATTTTTTAATATTTCAGATATTCTACTCTCCCATGGCCCTCTTTGTACCACCTTCGGTATATGCTGTTCATCTTCAGTTCAATCTCCTCTACCAGTTTTGGATCCACACAGAGGTATATCCTTTTTTTTGCTTTTTGTTTTGTTTAAGTTTTATACCTAACTAGCCTGCAGCAAGGTCCTGGAAATCCACTAGCAGCTGATTTATTGTGTAAGAAAATCTTTGTCTGCATTCTTTAAGGAGAAACATCTGTTCATTTTTATTCCTTTTTACTGAATATATATTGCAAAGTTTATAAGAAGCAATGAGGCCAGTTGGTCTCAATTAAATAAAACCATTTTTGAACTATTAAGTACCAAAACATTTTAATACTTTATTCAATACAATATCTTCCTGTATTGCAGTTTATTAAACATTGTTTGCCAAAAGATGTTGAAATTTATTTTAATATAAAGATATAAATTTATATATATATATAATTTATGTATGCTTCTAAATATATATATATAATATCTACATATAAATATTGTTATAAATTATTTAATAATATAACTTAGTATTATGTATTAATATCTATTTAATTACATATATAAATATATAATATTTATACATTATATAAGTGGGAAGTTCTTTATAAAATTCCTTGACAAAATTTTAATGCCTAAAAAAATTACAAAACTATTTTTTGTTTGGAAATCTTGCTTCAATTTTAGAGTTTGAATTTTATTTAAAAGATGTTCAATATATTGTTAGGGTAGGTTTTTTCCCACCAGAAAAATGAACAAATGTAATTTCTTGGATCTTCTGTGATACCTCAAATTGTCAAACCTGAATGTTTGTAGAAAGATCATTATGGAACTGATTGGTTTATGAACTATTGTACTGAACTGGTTGTTAAGTACCACAAAAATCACAGATGCAGAAAACTTCTTACTTATACACATGAGAACCCTTTCAAGCATTTGGTATTTATTGGAGGTCTTTTGAAGTTCTATAGGAAGCACATTGACAGGTGTTGCAACTGGTTGAACAATACCGCAAATCACAGCTGCATTAGATGCCAAAGCTTGATGCAACAAAGAGCATTATTTCATTAATCTGCAGTATTTCATGCTACTGACTTGCTTGGAATAGAGACTGTTACTATGACTTTAGGCATATGTGGCATTATTAGAAGATATGTTATGAAATAGCATTGGATTTTATGGTAGTTGACATACATCAAACAGCCAATATTATAACCATCTGAAAGAGTTGTTGAGGTCAATTCTGACTCTAGAGGTCAAAGACCAAATTTGTTTAAATCACTGAGGGAAGCTTTCTGATGATTTACATGGAGGGGATAAAGGAGAATTACATTTTTATAACAGCTCTGCTCCAGGTCATGCCATGTGTTGGGTTCATGAATTAGTTTGGATACAGAACAATGGTGCCTAAGTAAAGTCTGCCTTTTCCTGTATCGATATAAGAGGATAATGAGCCAGGGCTTGAGTACCATCTTAAAAAGAAAGGGAGAGTGGAGGAAAGCCATTGATGAGGCATTTCTTTCAAGCTCAGAAATTTCAGGTGGCTTCACTTCCAACTCAAAATGCATCAGAATTCTCACTTGTATTATACACCATGCTTTTGATTGTACTGTACGATGTGTAGTTACTACAGTTGAGTTGCACAAGAAGCAAGAGCACACTTTCTGAAATTAAGATTTGGATTTGGATCTTGGAATTTTAAGTTATATTACTAGCTGTGAATATATTTCTAAGGGTGTTTTATTTGCAACTGTGTTTATTTAATTTACAAATAATAAAATAATTTAGGAAATAAAACCAAGATATTTGTATCAGTGGCTGCTTTTTGAGAAAGGGGCAAGTGAAATAGAGTGGGGAAAAGACAGCCTTTAACAAATTATTCTTATCATGTGCTTTCTCTACTTTTTCAGTTAAAGGTTAATACACATTCGATTTAAAAATAAAATTTGAAAACAATTATCTCAGTCTAAAAAAATACTTTATGCCTTTTTAGGCCACTTGAGCACTGCTTCATTTCTGGCATCTTACTTGGTGGTTAATTCACAGAAACAATATGTGAGCCATAGACATGACAGTGTTGGCCAAAGTCTGCACATTCCTGAATGGAAATTTGACTCTTATAGTTGTTTCACTTCTGCTGACCTCCATAAAATCAGTTCTCACTTGGAAGGGAATCTGAAGGAGGTACTGATTTTCTAAAAGTGAAGAGAAGTTCATTCCCTTCCATCAATCAGGCTAGGATTTTATATGAAAGAAAAAATAGGACAATTTTTGTTTATTTTTGGGTTACTTTGATGAAGAAACAGCACTATCTCTTCCCTTCCTCTCCTTTGAAAGTTATAAAAATTTTGCTTGATTAATTAATACTCTTTCTTAATTTTTATGACTACATTTTTGTTCATTCATTTGAAATATCTGCAGCATATAGTTGTACTCTTTCCTTGTGAGTATACTAAAAGTAATCAAAATCGTTTTGAATGTAATAAGTGTGGAATGTTATAACTATTTTAGATATATTAGGTATTTGGGTGTTAGCTGATTTCTACAATACAGAAATAATAGTATCATTATCTATAACCTTTCAGTTATCTTAAATTTACTGTCATATGTTCATATACATATAAGATAATTCTTGGGCAGAGAAATGTAACATAAATAATTATTTGGTATTGAATATTTGCACCATGTAATTAAATGATCTGTATAGTGCTAAATTGAGAGAGATTTGTGTGCAGATAGTGTGGTTCCTCCCTCTGTGGTTCCATGAGAGGGGTCCCACTTTAAATTTCCAGTCCGTAGATCAAAATTCCATCTCAGACCCCTATATTAATGAGACTAGAATTTTCTTTTTGAACTCTATCCCTTTCCCCTTCATTGTATCACATTCTTTAGGACAGTCATTCTATTTGAATACTTCTTTGTCAACTATATCCACCAAACACAAAGATTGCCATCACCGAAAATGAACAAACTCTGAAGAAAACAAATTCTTTTCATTAATAATCTTTATACTCTACCACTCTCCCAATCATATCTTTCACTAAGGATGTATTTATGTTAGACCTATATGTAGGATCAATAGAAATTAGAGCATAGGAGTATTGCAGAAATGCAGTGTTCAGAATTAGAAAGCAAATGGAATGTGCAGTAGAACAATGAGGCAATATAACTGAAGTGACAAGAGAAACCAGAAATTGGCAGAAGCTAGGACATATAGAAAGGAAGAGGAAAATGTAGCTCTATGGCAACAAAACAATAGACTAGTAGCAACATGAGCAAATATTTAGGAAATTTAGCCCTAGCTGGTTTGGCTCAGTGGATAGAGCCATTGGCCTGTGGGACAGAAGGATTTGGGATTCAGTTCTGGTCAAGGGCATGTACCTTGGTTGCAGGCTCCTCCCCAGCCCAGGTCCTGATTGGGGCACATGCAGGAGGCAATAAATCAATGTATTTCTCTCACATCGATATTTCCCTCTATCTCCTACTTTCTCTAAAAAATCAATGGAAAAATATTGCCAGGTAAGGATTAAAAATTAAAAATTAAATATGCAAGTAACTTACCCTGGATTTCATAAGTAAATGTAACAGGTAGTCAAGATCCATATTCTTTGCTCTTACCCACTACATTATAAAGCTTCCCTGTAGATGGTTCATTTCTGATCTTAATGTTATAATAAAATTGCCACTATGTGTTAAGCATCCAGTATGTTCCAAGCAAAAAATGTTGTATTTCATGTCCATAAAGTAATTTGAATCACTAGAGACCAATTAAACTTTTACAGGTTATAAAGAATGAATATAAATTCAAGTAACTTCAGTTAATGGGGTTTTATTTTAAGGGGACATGTAGAAGTACATGTAGCAGGAAACCATTGCAGAAATTTAATAGACAATTTCGGAAAACTGGAATTTTTATATTCACTAACTCTGTAACAAACACTGTCCCTTTAAAAGCTAATAATATTGTGGTCTTACAGTTTATCTAGGTATCATGGTTGGTTTCAGTGCTTGCATTTTGGCCTACTCACCCATTGCATTTACTCTTCAAACAATGTAATTTATTCAGTATATCTTCATAGATAAGAACAGGGTTCATAAAAATCCTATATGGCATAGTGGAAAGATCAAGGCTGTGGGTTAGTTAACACAGAAATGAGGTATACTCTTCTCTTCTCTTCTAATTATCGTGTAACTTGTATAGACATCTACTTGTTCTTCAAATTTATTCTCTGAGGCTAGTCTCACTGTAAAGCATTTGGTGATGTTCTATTGCTTGCTGAATAAAAGTCTAAATTTTTTTACATTTCATGTTTCTCATGTACTGCCTTCTCTTGATGCACATGACATTACTTTACATTCTTTGGAAGTCAATCAAGCTAGACCATTTCTATTTCCCATATATATTTGATGTGTAATAATAGGTTCTCTCACTTTCATATTTTCTACATGTTGCTATTCTATATGTTTTTCAAGGCTCAACTCAAATTCTTCTTCATAAAAGTGTTTTCTCTTTTAAGAGCAAGTACCTATATAGATTAGATTGTGTGTCAGTCACTAGACTATGATTTCACAAAAGCTACTTAATTGATCATCATACAACCTTATGACCTCAATTCAAAGTGAGGACATTGAAACTATGTAAAGATTAAGGAAATTATCTAATGTTGTTGCAACTAAATGGTAGTAGATCCATGATTCAATAATAATTATCTCTCTTTCCTCATCTGAATATAGTATCATTTACATTTCTTAGAGAATTCCTAGTTTGTCCAGAACTGCCCCAATATATGCCTATTTTCCTGGCATAATTGTTAATAGCACAGCTATATACTCTCTTAAATTATCCATTATACACTTGAGTTTTCCTCTTAAAATACTCTTTAATCTCTCTTTCCCTTTCTGTTTTCATTTCCTCACCTTAATTTATGGGCCTATCATTAATTACATAGTTGGTTACAATAGAATTCTATTTATTTTCTATTTCTACAAACTCTTTTTTCTCTCCCTTATATCTCAATACATAAACTGAGATGATCATTTTAGGAGCCAATGATTAAACACTCCTAACATGTGAATAAACATCAACAAT